AGGCTTGTACTGCTGAAACAGGTTCAGATCCTCTTCTGCTGTTGGTATCTACCTTGGAAGGGTGCAGCTTGCTTAGATAGTTGAAGTCTTTAGTCTGAATAGCAGGACCATGGGCTTTAGGTGATGCTGTTCCATAGCAAAGTAAAACTGAATGGGCTGCTCATCTTTACTGTAACTCTGCTTTTAACTTACAGATTTATTTAAAAGCAGGGGAAAGAAGTTCTACTTTGGTAAATCCCCTACTTCTCAGCCCACTCTTCCCCTTCACTAGAAGAGGGGCAAAGGGAAGCAGTTGGTGACTGTAAGAGACAGGGCAGCCCGGGCAACTTCTGCCTGTGCCCGAGCCAGGCTGGAACCCCCGAGGGCACAGTGCGTGAAAACCCACCACAGCTGTGTTAGTACCACTCTGTGCAACTGCTGAAAATTCTCTCTTCAAGGGCCTCTCCTCTGGTTGTAGCTCTCCTTAAAAATATAAACAAAAAGGTAAGTACTTTAATCCAAACAAGGTGGAAAGTTGATGGCTGCAGCTGCTGGAACAGCAACAGGTACGTTGCAGTATCCCTATCTAATGCAGCTTCAAGCTAAGGCACAACTGCAACTTGCATAAATGTATTTTGCTTGTGAGTTGCTACACTCTTTATATTGCACTGATTCCTGGGCCCAGATAGTTAAAATTTAACTGTGACAGACTAGAGGAGGAAGATGAATGTGTCGGTGAGAGACAGGGAATGCTCATTTCACTCACTTGTAGGTCAGAGCTCCAGTAAAAGAGTAACTAATTACAGTGACATTTAAATCGCTCTCCTCTACAAAAAAAACCCACCAAATACTATGCTAGCCCAGATTTACCGGTGATTCAAAAAAGCAGCCAGGGGCTGTAGCTCTGCAAAGACGGGAAGCAATAAGACTCTCGTGTACATTCTTTAAAAAAAGAATTTTATTGTTACAACTAAAATGAGAACTGAAAACTTGTATGGGAAATTGAAAAACTGTACAATTTTACTATAACCTGTGAGGTCTTTGCAGCCGCTTACACAAAAGACAAGATACCTGAAAATGTATTATACCAAAACATTTAGCTTTTTTGGTTTTTTATTTTTTAAAAAAAGTTTATTCTATGGCAATCTGTAAAAAAGAAAGACCTGATGAGTAAATATTTGCTTAAGGCATATAGCAGAGCAGCTCACTAACTTTCTAACAAGTTTAACATGGATATTTGTCCATTTTCCAAGAATAGGTTAACCAATACACCCACTTTGAAACGCTACTGTATATACACACCCAAACTACTACATACATATACAGGACATCAAAACAAAAATGTTTACAGTTCAGTATTGTAAGCCTTATACACACCTCACCGGGCTTGTGGGACACTCCACTGCCCGTCCCGCGGCAGTGTAGGGTCTGGGTGTGGAACAGAGGAAAGAAATGGCAAAATACATGGGCAGAAAGGGGCACGTCCAAAACTTTATCATCTGAAAAAGAGAAACTTTCTGCAAATAATTTGCAAGTGAATTACTCAGGATTCAAAGGAAGGATGCTTTGCTTTCCTCTCCTCTCAAGCCTAAAATCCAAAATATTCCCTCTTGGGAACAGTACAGAGGGGTTTTCTGTTTGGTTTTAAATGCGCCGCCACTGTATTTCTGCAGATCAAAGCACGCGACTGAGATCTTGCAAAAGAGGCTGTCCTCTCCCTCCTCCAGCGCAGCTTTGAAGGCAGCACAGCGAGTCATACCCTGAAATGACGGAGCCACTGCTTGCCTCAAGTGACCAGAGGAGAGGTGTGAATAGGGCTTACTAAACTCTCTGGAATGTCTGTACTATACTTACTCAGCTGAAATGAACCATGCTAAACAACCGGGTTACACTGAGCACGCAGAAATTCAATAGGAATTCATGCCAAGTATTAGGCGAGTACATGTTATCTGATAAACACCAAATCAGTCTATCCCTGAACGAAGATACTTTCAGCAACACCCTTTGAACCACAGCCACTTAATGATCAGTTCATGCAAATATAATTTGGGCACATCAGTAAGCAGAAATATAAGTTCTTTCACCTTTCAAGCACATGGTATTTAATCAGGACACTAGAAGACTTTACATGCATTTCAATACAAATGGGGTACGAATGGTGCCTTAGGACAATATTCTACCAGATGTCGGAGAGAAGAGTGGGGACAAAGCAATCACATACTGTATCTTAAATACACAGATGAGCCATTATATATTACCATTTTTCTATACTTACTTTTCATGTTTCCAATAATATAACTAAATATTGACCGATTACAACATTCCTCCTTTCAAGTACTGGTCTGACCAACAGTCTCACAGGTAAAGTATTGATTCCCAGTACTACCTGAGGATTTATTATTGTACTTCTGAAAAGCCCTTGATGCAAGCTTAACAAAACACAAAATAGAAATAACTCCCCCTCCCCCCCTCCCCATTCACCAACTTATTCACCGAAGGAAAAGAGCTATAACCTACAGCCAGCTTTGCAAAAATAAATATGGAGTGGAGAGAGACTTCCGAAGATACTCCACAGCGATGTTTGCACTGGGAATGGTGGTTAAGTGCTATACATCTAGAAAGCCTTTAAAAATAAAAAGAACTGCTTAATAACACTGTTGCAAATTAGCTGTCATGGGTTAGTTCCAACTGCTACAGCTTTCATAGGGAGTTTACTGCTACCCTCTGCCCCATGACACCAGCAAAGAAGTCTTTGCGATTATTGTTTAAACTATTAATAATTTGGTACTAGCGAGAGGAACAGCATTGACTAAGACCGTTTAGTGCAATGCCGGCTTCCAGTCACAGTTCTACCAATGCACCCAAATCCTTATTTACAAGCACTTTTCATCGTACGAGCCCTGGGCCTGGGAAAGCCGCCCGGGGCTGCGCGGAACAGGGCGGAACGGCACGGACCCGGCCTGGCGCAGGTACACGGCGCGCACCCCGCGGAGCCGCCCTCGGGCCAGCGACAGCCCCGGCTGCAGAGGGGCAATACTCTCCCTCTCGCACCACTGCGTCCGATAATTACTGAAGAGCGACTCTTCAAGCCAAACTAAAGCCAGTATTTTAAATCTTTGCTTTAAAAAAAGCAGAACACACAAATGCTTGCATCATACGTCCACAGACCAACATGTCTTCTGTTGAATTTGTTACATCTTAAGGAAGCTGCCACAGCATTAGTTGCTCTGGATTTATTGAAATGCTTTCCCGTTTGCCGCCTGCAATGCCTCCGAGTACGGTAGCTCTCCGGCCCTTGCGGGAAGCGTGCTGTTCCTTATGGAGCAGATGGAGAGTGAAACTGCATTTTACATTCCAAATGATGAGGTTTAAGAACTGGTCCTTCTGAATGCCAACTGCACAGCTGCAAAATGCTGGTGGATGTGTTTTGGTTGAATTTCCCTTCCTGTTTCTCTCCCTCCCCTCAACCTCTCCTAACCCAGAATATAAAAGTAAAAACAGTTTTACAAAGGATGGTGCAATGTAAATAGGCATATGTGCAAGTAGAGTGCAACAAAAGTCAATGAGGAGATACACTTACAAAAAAAAAAAAAAAAAAAAGAAAAAGAAAGAGCTTGACATGTTGGGATACCCTGAGCAAATGCAGAAGCCTGTTTCTATTAACATGTAAAACGATAAGCTCTTTAAGAACAGTTATGCCAATATTAAATATATCAATACCACAGGCACTGCCCACAACTCAGTCTTTAATGATGAAGCAAGTAAAAAAAAAAACAAAACAAAAAAACACCAACCAGAAACACCCCTCCCCCAACAGCCCCTGTTCCAAAAAGTTTACATTCTTTAGGTATGTGGGTTTCTTTTTCTTTTTTTGGGAACTCATCAATCTAAGTCATGTATTTGGTTACAACACTTGGAGAGTACAAGCAAGTTTCACTTGTGCCTAGTTTTTCTGAAACACAAAAGAAAAAGAACTGGCTTTTTAAAAAAAGGCTAAAAACAACAATGTGTTGTAATTCTATTATTTAGTTGGAAAAAAAAAAAGAAAAAAAAAAAGGAAAACAGACTATTTGGCATTTTCTCTGCTTACTCCTGAATATTTTAAGGCCCTGAGATTAGAATATTATGTTCTTGGGACCACAGGGCTAGATAAAACCCTAGTGCATCAATTCTCTCTTTAAGCCCTAACCAAAGTTCTGGCCTTTCAACCTAAGATCTACCTCCACTGAGACATGGCTCCCATGCCCCAGTTAGCTTTCCTTCAGAGAAGCTTATTACAAACCGATCAATCATTGGTGTTTTCTGCAGGGTCAACCTTGCTGGCACGTCCATCAATGAAAACACACCCTGTAACAGAGATAAGCTCCTGCCGTGAGGAAAGTGAACATGCATATATTCACTAGAAATGGCTTCCAAGTTGTCATCATGTTCTCATCATCCTCTTCTGAGTTTTCAGACTTCATCGACTCCTCTTTGTGGGGCGAGAGACGCAGATTTTCACCAACAGTTCTCCTCCGAATTTCAGTGTCTTGACTAGTGCTTAAGGACAAAGAAATAAATATTCAGCACTGGATTCTCCTTTTAGGAGAGAAGCCAAGCAGAGTCTGCGAGAGCATGGCCTCACCCTCTGACCACCACTGGCAAAGCTGGAAATCTCTTAGAATCAGGAGCTGCAGCAGATGACAAACCAAAGCCTATCACTATTACAGTTCTGCCTGTTAAATGACAGGTCTAGAACAGTGCTTGTTATCAAAAGCCACACTTGGGAGTATTTTGTGCCCTTTACAGGCTAAGCTGACTTAGTTTTAAACACCACCTACTCCCGTTGCTTATCACAAATCTGCTGTCTGTACCGAGACAAGTAGTGAACTAGCACAACTCCAACCTACAGGTTCTAAAATCATGTACCTACCCAAAAAGTAAAAAATGATGCAACTCTGGTTGCTCGTGCAGCCGTAACTTAGAAAGAGCGGCTGAATGCATTGCGATAGCTTTTAATGGTGGAACTGAAGATGTCTTCACCTTTAATACTCTCTTAACATGGTTTTGTTTCTAGATACTAGACCTCCATCCTGTTGGCAGTATATTGACACCCAAAGAGGCTCCTTAACTGAGCATGAATGTTTATATCTACGGTACAACTTCTTCCAGCTGAATTTAGAAAGCAGAGCACCACCACGCTGTGAGAAGCAGTGGGGTGGTAATCAGCAGGGAGATGCTTTGCAGGGGGATTTCCCAGACATCTGCTGACAGTATAGAAGAACTCAGGAATCTTCCATCCCAGAACAAGAGTATCTGGGCAGGAAAATAAACGTGCTTAAGAATTCTGCTTCTTCTTCCCTCACTTCTGCCAGCACAATGTCCATTTCCCACCCCTCCATTTCCTCCAGCCTGGCACTCTCCCACATCCTTAGAGAGTGCTTCTCATCTCTATTCCCTCCCCCTCCTGCCTAGCAGCTCTCACTTTCCGCACTTCTGGACTCGCTCTCCCAGCCAGGAGGACACGAGCGATGATCCACAAAGGAGGCCTGATCCTGCAGCAACAGTAGTGGTATAGCATGAGGGAGCTCAGCATCACACCCTGGCATTTCCTAGTACTCCTGAAACATCGCATACGGTAGGATTTCACTTTAGCAGGGTAAAACGCAGAGGTCTAGTCCAAGCCAGCCTCTACAATCACTGAGGATGGGCAGTTCCCGAGGATGACTCAACTCCAACCTCAGACAAGTGACTATAATAAATTAAATTAATTGAGTCTCTGAGCTCTTTAGAGCTGGACGTGTCTTATGTTCATTTAAGCTGTACTGTGTAAAGTATTTCCAGGAAATCATTTATTCACTGAGAAATCCAGATTTACACAGCTAATGAGAAGACACAAGACACCAGCTTTAAATCCACACTCATCATTAGGCGTGGAAAGCATTAGCTGCCATCTCACAACCCAGGCAAATATTGAGGAAACAGCACTATATCGTCCTGGAGGGAAGAAAGAGGGAGGTGCTGCCATTGCAACAATCCCTTCTTTTGTAGCTAAGCTTCCATTTGTGTCCATTCCCGTTTCCAAGATTTCCTTTCTTTTCAGTAAAGACATTTGGAATTTGAGCATTTCACTTCCAGAATTTGCCCTGGTGAATTAAGAAAAATCCTGATCAAAACATTGTTTCGTGTTGAGCAGGGAAACACTTCCATTTTATCTCCTTGCCTCCAGCAGAATTTGGAGGGAAAAAACAAGTTCAGCTCATGGTCTCAGCCTCTCTGCTCTGCTACGTGAAATTAGAGGACGTTTATTTTGAAGAAGGACTATTGGACACACATCTCACTAATCTCCAGTTCCCAGAGTCACACACTCCCCCACTGGTTCTGCCAAATAAAATACATCCAGCCTTCCAGCTGCATCTGTTGGAAAGGCCCTAGGAGTTCTGTGGACAACACTAAAACCTGGTATTTTATTCCAGTATTCCTATGGGAAGCTGAAGATACCTTGTTAGGAGACCATCTAGCGGGGGAACATTAAACTTTCCCTTGATAATCCTTAGTGGGCATAGGATTTTTTATTTTTTATTTAATTTTGCGGTTTTTTGTTGTTCTGTGTGGCATTCAGTGGGTTGTTCTGAATAAAACTAGTTAACCTGCAGAATGCCAGCAACACCAAGGCATGCAGACTTCAATCAGTTCCACGCCACTCCGATAAATCAGGAGTGACATCTAGCGGTTAAGCAGGCAGGAACCTTGGCTTCTCCCCTGTTCTGCCACTCGTGTACACAGCACCGCTGCACATTTATTAGTTCTTACAATTTAGGTTACAATGACAGGAAAAAAGTTCTCTTTTCATACGCCCCCTCTACTCCATTCATCAAAAGTAGCTTTGCTTGCAATTAGTTTCACATTTCTAAGTGTGGCTAAAGCTCGTCAGCCGAGTTTTCAGCTACATGACTAATACTGCCTTCAAGCAGTGAAAGAGCTCCTCTGTAACATAACAGATACTGCATGTAAATCGAGATTAAACCACCTCATTATGCTGTCACTTTTCCTTCTACTGTAGCAGGATCCCATAAGAGGCCCTAGCTGATGCGTGAAGTTAAAAGAACACAAGCATAAGACCTTCAGTAAAAAGATTTTGGGTTGGAACTGCTATTACACTAACTCGATCAAGGGCTGTTCAGGCCCTTCTCTATGAAATGCCATTTATGAGCAAACATCCCGTAACCTCTCAAAGCCATAAGCCAGCTGGACAGTCTTCTCGGGACAGTTAAAAGTGGGAAACTAAATGAATTACCTGTCTGTGATCAGTGGTACAGATGAACGAGCTCTGCCATCTGGAACCATCTCTTCCACAGTGCTGACTGAACATCCAATCTCTTCCTCTACTACTTGATGTTTAGGAAAGAATTCTGTGTGTTCATGCATCCTTCCATTGTGCATTTCTGAGGTTCGCTTTGGTGGTCTGGGAGGTGGTGGGGTATGTTCAGGTGGAGGGTCCAGGTCTTCATTGGAGAGCTCTTTCCACTGCTCCTTCAGGAAGGAAAAGCCCTTTTAAGCTTGTCTGTATTTCTTTTATGTAAGCTGCTATAACTTTTAAATCTAACATGGCAGGGGCTTTATACTCTACTTTTTCATTTATTCTTAGAATGACTGTTCATTTACATTGAAAAAAAGGGAAAAAAAAGAAAAGACACGAACTCCAAACTGAAGCTACATCCAGTGCACAGAATACATCCGCTATAAATGCGGGAAGTTTCAATCTACTTCTGGAAAATGTAAATAGCACAAAATAGAATCTGTGTTGCTAGAGTTCTGCAACTTATAGGATTTAATTATAATACTTAAATTTCTGGCATATTAGAAAATTGTTATGATCTGAAATGAAAGACAAGGCCGATGCAGTCAGTCTACATCCCAGTTACAGGGCTGAAAAGTACACAAGGCCACCTGCTATACTACAGGTACTTTTTTGAAGGTTCTTTCTGCAACACTTTAGGTCATGACAGATCATAAAGCACTGTATTTAAGAACACCCTAATATAAACATTTATTGAAGCTGCAGCAAGCATGAAAATTAAATTCTCTTTTATTCTGTTCATCCCCCATATTTGCTACAGTTCAACAGAGTTGCAGCTGACGGCGTTAGGCTGTGCGGTCAATAGTACTCACTTGCACTGAGGCATCTCCCATAATGAATTTCGCCCCTTCAATAACAGCCAAGTAGGAGAAACGGAGCTGATCTGCTGTCTGTATGAGTCCCATTCTGTACTTCCTCATTTCTAGGAGAACCTGTTTAACGTCCACAGAAGAAGGATCTTTCCGTTTGTCCATCTGGAGATAAAAATTTGAAACATGCTTTAGGGTCTGATGAGATTCAGTACAATGAGTCATTTTGTAGTATGGCCTTCAGACTACCCTCCATATTACAAAATTAATAAAAAACCGGTATCAGTAGCTATTTATATTGGGTCTTTAAAGAGACAGAGAGGGCAAAACACATTGGGCCTCCAACATGTCGTACATTTTTCCCTTTTTTGTCTTGAAAATATAATGAGGAAAAAAAAAAAAGGACATGTCAACCTAGGCCTGACTTCTGTGTATGTGTATTAGTTGCTCTCACACAGTGACAGAATAAAGCCAAGAGAACTCCAGCTTTATCTTAAAGTCAGGACAATTTCCCCCTACCTACGGGTAAAGTTGACTCTGTAAAAGGAAACACATTGGATTTAGTTTGTGTTGCTTCAGGATAGCTCATACTACTACTTAGCAGACATCTAGCGGTTTTTCTCTTAACCATGAGGGCAAAGCCTATCTTTACAAATCTCTTTAAAAACTACAGACTTTTCTTCCCCAAACTAAAAACGGCCAGTTAAGAATGAGATCTGTCTTGGAATACACTCCCAAACCAGAATATGAGTAAGATAATGGGAAATAGCATGCAACAATACTTCACAGAACATACCACAGCTCTTTGTAAGCCTACAACAAACCATTCCTCAAAATAACTCTACAGAAATAGCATATCATCTGGAATAAGTAGTTCTTACCAGTAGAAGACACGTATCAACCAAACAAAAAGTTCCCGATCTCCCGATTCCTGCACTGCAGTGCACCACAACGGGCCCATGCTCAGGGTTAAGCGAGCCAGACTCTCTCACTTTGAACAGAAAATTGAGGAATGAGGCAGGTGACTCCGGGACGCCAAAGTCAGGCCACGTAGTATAATGAAAGTGCAGAATCTCTCTCGTTTCCTGTGTCTGTAAAAACAGTATTTAGGAAGTCTTTTAGCTTGGACACACGAGACAGGAGCATTCGAAGCAGAGTTGCCTACAACAATGTTCTAATCAGCAAATACAATTCCTCGCTCATTTTCCTAGCAATAGTCACATATATTTAGACATACAGCTTTATACATTAGACATTTTTACCTTTAGGTCAATTTCAATTTGTGCCTTTGGAAACATTTTAGCTACTTCCTTTCAAAATAACTCTGACTTACATGGAATGGAAGCATGTGCCTGCTCGGCTTTGTATGCTACTCAGACTATACCGCTTCCATGACATCTTTAGAACAGCTGACAAATTCAAATGGCAAAGTTCCACCAGTCTGAGGGAGCTTTGATAGGTGCACAGCTAAGAAACTAATGACAAATAATTATCTCTTGTTGTGAAGGTCTCCATTTTGAGCAAAGGAAATTGGGTACGTAAACTTACTTATTTATAACATGGTTTAGTTTTTTCAGTACAGTTCAAATGCTTGTACCGCCACAAGATAGCCGGCACTACTGCCTTCCAATTTCTAACGGCAGAATATCAGCTGAAGATTTCTCAAAATGAGTACCTCAAGTTACAGAAGCCCTTTACACTTCCTGCAGGCAAAGCCCTTGCGCTATCACAGCTGTTCCTTTACAGGTTTGTTCCCAACCTGAAAACTTTCTCCCAAGACTACTAAACCACTGGTGCTCACATCCTCCTCGAATACTGAGCTCCAACCAAACACGTCCACAGCAGACATCACAGTTAATACACACCACAAACTACATCAACTAAATTCTTACTCAGGCATAATTTAGTGACACTCATATCTGCTGTCTCAGGTTTCCTGGCAGGATGAAGCATACAAGACGCTAACAGATGAGCAAAGGAGTAACTGTGTCTTCCGGTAGCGAGCAGTACCAGGACAGAACAGAACTCAGGCTGGCACGTCACGACATACACCCCCAGCTCAGCACCATCGAGGACCTCAAACATTATCTTCAGTGACCTGCAGTCAGCGAAAGTTAATGGTGTTCTTCCTTAGCCAGTCTCCCCAAAGGGCTTCAGATTAGCTCTCACTGCTCTAATACAGGGCAGTGTTGAAGAGGAGAGGAAGGGTGGGAAACGGGACGTATACTTATATTTTGGTATTAAGCAAAAAGAGAAAACCAAACAAACGAGTTATTTCTCCGAAAGCTAATGCCTGATCCTCACACCGAGCTCCACACAGTTCATTGCTGGACCAGGGCTAAACCAGATCCTGCTTTCTCATGAAGGACATCAATGCAAAACCTAAACATTTAAGCTAAAACCTAAAAATAAACCTTAGAACAAGACACAAAAGCACGAGAACATCTGCTAAGTGTTTTTATAAAGGGTTCTCTGAAAGGTAGTGGCAAACTAACCACCTCACTCAGTGTACAGCTGAGACATGAAAACAACTACAATTTCCCCAGATATGTTTCATAAATATTTAAGAGTTTCATTTACACAACACGGAAACTAGAAGCTGAAGAACAATCTCATGCAGAATCACCAATTCCCAAACAAAATCTGCTATAATTCATGACCATCTTTTCCAAGACCTTGCTGATGAGGAGGCGAATCGCACCGCAGAGAGACTGAAGAATCTGATCGGTACTGGTTTCTGTACTTACTGTAAGGTTTTCCAATTCTAGCTGTCGTACTGTGTAATATGATTTTATATCTTCAGATATCAATGTTAGTTTCAAGTTTGTATCTTCAAAAAACATTTCTTTCTCCTCCTTCTGTGGCCAATACTGTGCACACTTTATCTAAAAACAAATAGGAGACGTTTATATGTCACTTATGTTTGTGTAGAAGGCAAGGAAAAAGCATCCTTAAATACAACATTTTCTTATGAGACAATTTCTTCATCTCCTTTTATTATAAGGAGGACCAATTCCACTGTGAAGAATATCAGTCTTCCTTTATGTCGCAGAACCACTTCTTCACTGAATCTTTTGTATGAGTCAAATCATTTTGGCCCTGACTGAACTCATGAAAATCCCTAAGGTTTGTTTAGGCAGAGCTCTCTTTCTTCTGCATGTAAGCTGAAAGACTGTGAAGCTATGGAATCTAACCAAAATCACCAAAGCCATTATTTATTTTGGCTTGTGTCAGAACAAACAAACAAGCAAAAATCAAGTAACTGTCTAATTATAAAAGCGCGTCACAACATTCTGCCAAAATCTGAATTTTTTGTGTACTCTGCATTTTATTATCCTTATGTCAAATATTTAAAGTTCAAAAGAAGACATAGACGTTAACAAGACCAGAACACGCTGTGAAAAAATATTATGAATTCCACGAATAAGCTACATATACAGAATTACAACATTGCTAATTTGCAAGTGTAACATCAGATGAGGTTTTGGGTTACTCTGTTCACTCACCACAAAAATAAATGACCTTAAATGAGTCAACCAAATAGAAAAGTAGCACATTTTGCGGTGTGCAGGGAAAATCTAAAAGAAACTCATCAGCAAGATGAATGGGGAAGTTTGCAACCAAGTTTCTCACAGTTAAATCTAAGGATATTTTGCCTGGGAGAACTGGCCTGCTACTTCTGCCACTAAGCACTGCTCCTCAGAAATGGGACTGTGACCACCATTTGGCCATACCTAAACAGGCAGTAAGAATGGATTGTTGGACATGGCTAATGCCTCTTTTATTAAAGGGCAAATAATCCGGCTTTAAAGTTGAAGTGGAGGAATGATGAAAAAAACCCCACAGCATTCTCAAGACTAAGATGATTTCTGACAGCATTTTAATAAGTAAGAAAACTTTTTGGTATTTTATTCATAGGTAGGCTAACACTAGTTTTGCTCAGACTAATTCTAGTCCTTATTCAAAGTACATCCTCTAGTTTATCCGGCTGTAGAACACAGTTACAATTCTCCGTACTTTTTTTTTTTTTGGTAATAATTTTAAAGAGACTGCAACTGGCTTTGTATCTAATTTCTCCACCAAATGTGTCTGCAAACAATATTTTGTTGTGCGCCACTGTAGGTCCCCCACTGCTGTTTGCTGAGAGTACAAGCAGCCTGCCCTAAGGGATCACAGTAATTCTTTTTATTCAAAACTACTGGCAGTGCAGAGAACGAGTGAGAATGGCTGGAAAGGAAGAAACTATTGAAAAATATGGTTACTGCATCTCGTTTGAAGATTAAATTTCACTTGCACTACCAAAAAAGCAAAAACTCAAAAATTGAGACAGCAGTTTATTAAAACACAACTCATTGTACAAGAATTTTCCTGATTATTGGGAACTCTTTCCTGATTACGCAAAAGCATATACCACCCAGTTATCACTGGTGGATATCCAACATACCCACTATCCCTCCTCCAAAGTGTCTTTGTACTGACTGCATTGCAACATTCAACTTTAAATTGTGCATTTCTGTCAGCCTTTAAAACTGCTTTTGTCTCAAATTTGCACAACTGCCAAATCCACTTTAAGGATGGCAGCTGTGGAATTAGCATAGAGGCAGAACTCTGACCCACGGATGAAAACCATGCCCGATAGTTCCTGTCTTCTCCACCATCAGAAGGGCTGAGGCATTTCCTTCTCCAGACAGCAGCTACTCCATGTGCCAGAGGAACTTTTCTCTGTCTGAAGGTAAACTATTTAAAATAATCCCAACTATTTGTTCAACTATTGTTTCCCTTCATCTTCTGTATTGTCTAATGTAAACTTCCTAAAAGGTCTAGACAGAACTTAGTCCACTGCACTGGTCCTAGCAAGCAAAGCACTGGCTTAACACCTGGGTCCACATCACCCAAAAGATTATTGTTTAAGATAGATACCAGGAGAAGTACTTTCAATTGTGCCCCCATTCTTGTCATATCGCTAATGTATTTTGTAAAACAATGACACTGGTGGAGAGACAATATGCCTAGATGATACATTTAATAATCAGAGCTCTTACTGCACAAAGGAAACTTGGAGTCAAAGCACCTCTATAACTACTTCAAAACCATTTCATAAAGCTTATGAATGAATACTTGGTGTAAATGACCTTTGAGAGGTGCAACCTGCGTACACTGAAAAGAACAACATTCAGACACCTAAGTTTAGCAGCAGAGACCAAATATTCATTTGTGCAGAGAGTCATATTGTGTTCATGCCTTATTTCAGCAAATTCAGAAGAAATTAAGGCCTACAATTACAAATAATCATCTTCTGACTGCGCTAAGATCGGTTCACAGGGTATTCAATTCTAGGCATATTTCTTATATAAAATTACTGATGGTCGTCACCTCTCCAGTCCCTCCCCATTCTTTGGGTTAGATGTGGTTTTTTTGTTGTTTGGAGGGTTTTTGTTTGTTTTTTGTGTGTTTGGTTTTTAAAGAAAAACCATAAACATGCAATGAACACAGCTAGAACTGGGTAAATACTTACGGATCCCTTTTCCATCACTCTATTCAACATGACAACACCACGGCTTTTCTGTTCCCAAACCATCTCCCAAAAGTGACCACAAGTATTTGGCAAAGGTCCCTGCAGAGACAGAATCCCCAGAAATAAGCATTATTTTCCTGTTAATGTCAGTGCAATGTTCCCCAGTAAAAGTTACTGCACTAGGCAATAAATTTAGACAAGTAACAAGCAACTTCTCATTTCAAACTGCAAAAAAATGCTGTGATACAGTTTTAAGTTCCATTTTAACACTATGAATTTACCCATGAAAGCATGGTTAATCTTCTCCCCCATACATAACAGGAAGAGAGAAGCAGTCTCATTTGCGAGAAAAGAACTGGGAGTGAAAAAAGCGGAGAGAATTTTCTTAGGAAAGGTGCACATATAATGGGGAAATAAAACCTCACTAACTAACTAAGAACAGAATTAACATCTATGTTGAACTATTCTCTAATACATCATTGTTACTCACAATACTTGAAAATAACTAGACTGAATGGACAAACATTCAAAAGACAAACAATGCCAGACCAGTAATAAACCATATGGTTTTCTAGAATCTTCATGGATCTGTTTTGGGACTGAACAAAATGATAACTCCTTTTAAAGTCTGCTATCTACTCACAAAGCAGATTTCCTTATAACTTGTTGTTTGTACTATGTCGCTTTGCTATTTTCTACTCCAAAACCATTTCTAAACCAAAACCATTGGGCAACACAAACCAGCATCATTGTGCCTCTCATATTTGCTATCCATCACTTTGCTTAAACAAAACAGCAGGCCAGGGTCCTCAGAAAGAATGACTGGATTTAAATAAAGCCATTCAAATCCATTAAGTTTTGAATCAAAATAGATAACTAGTACCAGTTAGCTACGTGTTTGACTATTCCACTCACAGGTCTATCAGTTCAACCCTATGATTGACCTCCCCTGTTGTAAATAAGTGGAATAAGAGCAGTGTGCACAGAATCATTTTCATATTGAACACTGTACTGTCTAATTCTTCCTTAGAAGATTTATCTTTATTCTCTAGAAACAGGAAGGAAGAGCTGCCGCCTGCAAATATTAATCCCAGTCTACCTTTATCTAAAGTGTGGGAGGAAGGGGTAAAAAAAAAAAAAAAAAAAAAATAAAAAAAAAAAAAGGTCAAGATTAGAGACCAGGACAGTCTCCAGGGAACCGAACATTTAAGACAAACAAGAATTCTGGCACAGTTACTAGCTCTCAGAATAAGACAACAGGGTACCCTGGTATTTTTTAATTTGTTATATAGATAAGTGTGAAATTCACAGATTCAGTGAAAAACAGCCACTTCCCTCCTGACTCCCATTTTCCCATCACTAAAATCTGTATTCGTAGCTTCCCTCTCACATTAAAGGTAGAAGCATCAGCATTGCCCAACTTAGACCTTATGCAAGCTGTGTTATCAGGAGGTACATTATTTGTAAATACAATAACATCACTTTCAGAAGGACATTTAACAAGAAATACACGATGAAACCTACTGCTTATTTGAAACAGGTCAGGTGTAAGAATTTCCCTAATATGCTTTAGTTAACATCTGCCCCTCTCAACATATCACATAAATATCTGTTGTATTTCAAGTATGTTATTTCAAATAGGTTTTGAACATCTTGAAGTTCATACATAAAGTTCTGGAAATGTGAAGCCCTCCCATTAAGTGAGGTTCACCTCTGTTCAGTGAATTTATCAGGCAACTTAAGACTGTAGCGGTCTCCAGCCTTTGTGCTGGCCTTCCATCTACGAGAAGTGTGATTCATTTCAACCACATCTAAATGTTGCTTGTCATAAGCCAACAAGCAGATTTCTAGAAGTATGTTAGCTTCTAACCTAGATGGGTCTAAAGTCAGATATACAAAGTGGCCAAAAAGTCAGTCAGTGCTGACAGGGAGCAGGAAGAAATATGCAGCATTTCTAGAAAATTCTTCTATGAATAGATTTATATATACACACAGATGTTTATACACACTTAGGTAGCTTTACAATAAAGAAAACATAATAGGCTGAAGAAAACTTACGAAAAACAACTCCAATCACCATATGCTTTTTATTATCCACAGCCAGCAATTACCTGGGTAAGGATGTAGCTCCTTTGGGCCTCTTCCATTTTTATCAAACTAGCATTGATATAGTCATTGTCACCTTGGTTTAGCTTAATTCGACTGTGATCAACTGCAGCATAATTAGAAAACACTGGTTAATGTATATGCAACACAGCACAATCCACACACAACCTCATCAGGTGTTAGGATCAAAAAAGCTGAGTCCGCCTGAAGAATGAAAAGAGCTTAATCGCAGGTAGCGCAGAAGCGTTCGCTGATGCTTGTAACTCTGGAAACACAATATAGGTACTACAAGAACAGCACTACAGCAGAGTAGTGAACAGAAGTTGCACTCTGTCTTCCAAGAATACACTGGAAGAATGGAAGTATTTTTATCTGCAGTAATCTGCAAACCAGATCACACTGACCTATTTGTACAGTTATTGAGTTACTGTTTTTAAATAAATCTCATTGCACAACTGCTTATCTTTTGCAGCTTAAACATTCAAACCCAGCTTGTTCAAGGTTGTTAAAGGTTTGCCTAAACACACATTGGACAAACAGAACAGAGACTTCTTATTGTTCTGATAGACGTTTAGCTACTGTTCCCAACCCAATCATACCTTGATGTACAGAAAAATTATCAAAATTCAAGAATAACAGCAAATGTAATTTAATTGCTCTTTTGTTAGTCTCAGCTTGCTCCACTTAGGATTAAAAAAAACCAAACCACTAACAAAAAACTGCATACAAGAGTTCCCACATTTTGCAAAAAAGCGAAACAGATTGGAAGCAGTATCATCTGAAGGCAAAAAGGAACCATTCGTTACTCACAACCCCAAATATTAGAGCTGTTCAGTAAAGCAGCCTATGTGCAACACTGTTGTTCCTAGTCAATTGCCCCAAAGACTTCAGTAACTTTTAACCACTAAGTATAAAAGTTTTCTGATAGTCAATAATACTCGTCTTTGAACAGAAGATAGACATTTTCCCAGTGACAAGAGCCTACAGAGGCTTTGCATTTAAAACAGGCAGCAGTACTGCACCCTTCGAGAGGGAAAGAAGTCCCAGAACAGGTATTGTCATTTAGTTCAGAGAGGGCAGTCTAGTGAACCAGCTGTGGATTTTCCCTAGCGTCTGACACATCAAGTGTTATTTACCAACCATTTGCCTAGTCCTGTACTTCTCTGCACATCCCAGAAGCACAGCAAGTTGGGCACAAGCCAGTCTGAACATCACTGTCTTTGTTCATGGGATTGTGGTAGGAAAGGCAGGCTGCAACGCCAAACTGAGCTGTGCCTCGTACAGAGGACACATGCTCAAAGATGCACTTCCCACCAGAATTCACCAGTATATGTAACGATAAGAATTTCAGAAACACAGGCCTCACACTAGTATTACCACCTTTGCAAACATCCCCTTTTCTCCATTCTAATTAGCTTATTAGCTTTGATTTATTTCTGGTAGTCATATATTTTATGTAAGACTTCTCCATCTCCCAATAGGGGCAGTTATGCTATACTGACTAGAAGGATGCTCCAGTAAGTATACTGCAACAGAAAGGATACTTGCAATTTTATTAATGCTACTTGAGCCACCACGCTTCTCTAGCATAAGAATTCAAAGGTGAAGCAAGTTCCTTTCTTCAGATTTCTGCCGACAAATACAGAATATACTGTCCGCTGCTCTAGTATAATCCTATGGATGTAATGGCATCCTGTGACATCTTTCTCATTAATAAATTAATTAACAAAAATAATTGTCTTGTATGCCTATCCATCTAACAGAAATCTTGTTCTTACAAAGAATATTTAGTTTTTAGAAGTCGTCATTAGAAGTCAACAGTCTATTACAAACAATGGAAAAGAAAGTGTACTTACAGGGGCTGACATCTCTGTACCTATTTCTATTTTTGTTTCTGGGATGTTTGGCCACTTTACATGGAAAATCACTGGCTTCGTGCCTGATGTCCTGAAACAACAACAAAAAAAATAAAGTCTTAGATATGAATCCAACTAATATCATCATACCATTAGCTATTTTAAGACAAACACCCATTTAACTTCACATCTTCACGTGTGGGAGTTCTGGGCAGAAAGCACTTCGGGCTTTAACTTAGGAATTGAGTTTAAATTTATCAGATTTTAACACTAACATTACTTGTGTGATAAATATTATTAGCTTGCGTAATAAAGTAGCAGAACATCTACCAGACATTATGTCTTTACACTCCTGATGGAGCAGGGTCTCTGCCCCAAAGCACTTCCATATAAACTGCTTTAAGCAATTGTTTCCACTATCAGTGAAACTACCAATTGTACTTCTAACTCAGCTGCAATTAGAAAACCTTCATCATAATAGAAAAAACCCCTTGTCTACCCCCCTCGGCATCAAACACACACATGGAGCGGTGACTTGTTTAACACCACTTTATCTTTATCTTATCAGCAAGATGTCACAAAGCTGCAAATGGCAAAAGTTATTGGTATCCAATTCACACACTCATAATCTCAAGCATATAATTAGGGTTTCTTTCAGTTTTTTTCAGATGCATATAATAGCTCAGCTATCTGAGACAATTTCCAAAGTTAGAATAAAAAGAATACTGCAGCCCTTGGACATCAGTCCCAATTTGTAGAAACAAAACTTCACATTGTAAATACATACTGCGCAAATATGCAATTCTTAAAAACTATAGTACTAGGAACTTCAGGGTGAAGCTGTTAGATTTAACTGAAATTAATGAAAACTGAAGAAATGGGTTTACTGTAGAACTGATATTTCAATAGCATAATTAAGCTTAAGAAATACTGACAGACATGGAGCACATCCGTGAAATGAACAAATGAACCTAGCCCAGACACCACTACAAAAATCATCATTAAAAACAAATTATTGAGTTAAATTTATCCCCTTTAATTGGACAAAATTGATTTTGTTAAATACCGTCAACCAAATGAAGCAGTCTTTAATATTAATTATCTGTCCAGATACAGATATATTCGAGCATGGTGTTGATCAACATGCAGTGTGACCAGAGAACAGGTTTCTGTGCACACAGTGCATTTGGAGGGCTGCTTGTGACATTCTGATCACTTGCATAGAAAGGCTGGGCACTCTATTAATAGTTTCAAATTAGCTCAGGCTCTGGTTCAAATTGTGGTAGTTTTCCAACATAAGAGCAGGAGAATTTTATACCAGCTCAAAAATCTAATCCCTAAAATGCAGGCCAAACTGAACTGTTTTTCTGTTCTTCTCAGTTTTGCATAATGAATCACGTACAATACTGAAGATTATTTTTTTTTTTTTAAGTGGGCTATCTGCTGCAGCTTATTATTTGTTAATCTTCTTCTACCCCATTATTCAGATATGTATCAATTTACACTGAATACTACATGTCAAGGGAAGAGTTCTATTTTACATATACCTGCTCAAAATTAGTACAGTATTCTGAAATGGCTCCTCACTGAAATAAGCCCCGACATCAGCTGCTATCTTTTTATAACTTAACACATGGCTGCCAGTATTTCTGTTTATGAAGAATGCAGTCTGGAGAATATGATCTCAAACATGAGGCAGCTAAAATGGATGTTTTCATAAATTCGTCTCAGACACTAGGTTGGTGACTCTGTATTTTGCAGGGGTTTATTTTCCTTCTTTTCTGACTGTACAGGATTAACAAGAGACAAAAACAGGGAACAAGGAAAAAAGGTTTTCTAGATCTCTAACCACATTTCCCACAGAGCCTACATATGTTATTTTTTTTAAGTGTTTAAAAAAAACCCAAACAATATAAACACCTGACCACTTAGGATTCATATTAAAAAAACCCCAACAAAAACACAATAAAAAACCCCCAGCAAAATGCAAACCAACCCAAAAGACCCTTAGGCATTTTTGCTGTAAATATTGGGTTAATATAGCAGCACTAATCTGCACTATTTCCTTTCACAGCATTAACAAGTTTGAAAAGAACTGTCCCCTCTTTCAAAAAAGGAAATGGATTAAATGCTTCAGGACAGATACGGAATGATACAAAGGCATCTAATATAAAAATATTAAACTTAAGCATATATGTGTATGTGCACACACACACTACCCCCCAGTCTCAGAGAGCTCCACAGATTCAAATACCAACACCACATATTTAGGGATCTGAAACCGGTAATTTATTGATCAGGGAATAGAGAACTGGCTACTACCTCGCTACCAAATATTAGATCTTTTGAAAGACACTAGGATGCCTAAAGGTACTGAAAGAATAAGGGAGTTCTAGGCGATGCAGAACTCCCACAGGCACAGAGAAAATGAAGAGAAAGAAGTTACCCATGTACCTTCCGGAAACACAGATGGTTTAAAAAGTGTAGTATACTTCCGAAGCACATTTCAACAAACAGAAGAAAAAAAAAAAAGAGGTGGGGTGGTAATAAAATGAGGGACCTAGATATGGCAACAGGCAAGCCGCTGCCTTGTATGAAAATCCAGCTAGCGTATAGCTCTTCATTTCTGAATGCAATGAACACCAATAAAACAAAATCCTGGACAGCATGCCTGCCTGGACCTCAGTGGTCAAATCCGTGCCTGAAAAGATGAGGCGTGCTCTTCTCAGCAATATGGGGTAAAAGTGGTTTGGGGTTTTGGTTGGGGTTTTTTGGGGTAGGTTTTTTGGGGCTACAGCAGTTGCTAGAACATCTAAAGTGACAAAAAAACCCTTAAGATCGCTTCCAGGATATGAAGCTGACTTTAGTGGAAATCAGGTGGCTTTCAACAGAGAAAGTTATTGGAGAGAAACGATCTAGTGACAAGCTACGTAAAATGGCCACGTTACAGGCTTTCTTGCGCATTCCTCAAAATCTTCTGTTATTGGTTATTGCAGGAAACACATAACTACTGATGCTCACGGGTGTTAGGGAGGTTTCAGAATACGTCAACAATAATACTACAGGATCTCCACACATGGAGAAAATAGACTTATTCAAAGTAATAATTATTATGCTATGAAGAACTTGAAGCCAGTGATGTCGCGAGAACTGAAGTTAGTGGATGGACACAGGGATTGATAGTTATGAAACGCCTTCTTGAATCACACTCATAGTCACACTGCAGAGATCCTGTCATTTAAAAAGGAAGCTCGACATTTCATTTAAAAGGTCGTGCAATATAAAACTTTAAAGAGGAAGGGCTAGAACTGAAGTCAGTTTTCCAAAGTCAAACGCTTCTGGTTTTGAGCATGAGTCATTCCAGACCACTCATCTCCTCGTTTTAAGTTCTGTACCCTGTGCAAATACTCCCAAAAACTTCAGGGGTGGAAAGAGGAAGTCTGCTGAAGCACTGTTGTTCAAATGGAAAGATCTTGTCGCTGTTAATTTGCAGTAGTGACTGGAATAAGAAGTTCTCTAGTGCTTTATAGGAGAAGGTTGCTCTCAGTTGCATGAATGGGTTCCGCTTGGCCTGACAGCATCACATTTTCTGCCACAAAGGATGGACACAGAATGCAAGGGCAGATGGCTGCGTTGTTCAGAAAAAAGGGATGAGTCCCACGAACACAACCTTGCTTTCCAGTCTTGCAGGTGTTCATCAGCAAGAGGTGCTCGTGGTGGTGCTCAACATCTTGTCCCAAAGCCTTCTGTACCAGAAGGCCCAACCCTTCCTCCCTTCCACCTGCCAGAAACCTCACAGTAGTGACTCACTCTGCAGCCCACAGCCCTTTCTTTCCATTCTTCTCAGCCTTCAAAAAAATCTCCTAACCCGTAACGACTCTGGAGTCTCAGATTTGTCAAATTTCCCAAAATTGCTCAGGAAGTATTTTATGCAAACTTTCCTACTTGTCCTCTTATCCACTATAGCTGCCATACCTAAACTCTTCGCACAACAGCACATTTGACTACACTTTCCCCATCTTGTTCAGACACCTACGGGAGATTAAGAAAGAGAAGATATACTCCAAAATCTTCAAGCAAGTATTAGGTAAGATCACATGAAGAGGTGTTCATGACATCAGGCCTTCAGATTCAACAGAAAGGCTCCCAGGGAACTTTGAAGCAGGTCTCAATTTGTTCACACTATTTTATTACACCATAAACTCCAGAGTAGCTCAGACTAAGAGATAATGATACACTGTCATTTTAACAGTTCTGTTCCTACGGGAAGCAACAATTGCCAAGATCTTATCATGGGCTACAGCAGTGCACAGTAATCTGTCTACTGAGGCAGTGACACTAAGGAAAGCAATTCACAACAAGTGTATAAAAACTTAAATTAAAAAGAAACTTTAGCTTAAGAGTTAAAAAAAAAAAAAGTTTTGTCTTTAAGCTAGCACTGAAAAAATGATGACACTGCTGTCAAAGGTGGAAGAGTTAAAAAAAATTACAGTAAAGCTGTTTTCTGAGGTATCATTACAGGCTGATTTCAGAATGGAAATACCCCTACAAATATATGAAGTGGCAAAGACACATGCAGAAGACCACAAGAAAAACAGGGATCCATAATAAACAGCTACTTTACAAAAATGGGAAAAGGTCTTCAGATTCAGTTTGTAGGGGAGCAAACTGCATCACTGAGAAGCGGCAAACGGAAGCCTCAACAAAATAACCTTGCTAAGATCTAAAGCATACATAGATCAACTGTTCGCTCAACCTACTTTGACAAGGAAGACAAGATTTCTTATCCTGTATTATAAACTCTACATCAGGATATTTGGACAATGACGAGAAACAAGGATGTAACTCGTAGGTAACAAGAAAGTCAGCTAGAGATCTGTTCAATTGGATCACATAACATTAAACTTAACAACAAGCTAGAATTTTAGCCAGATAAATGAAATAAATGTAGATTTTAATACCCTTTATAAAACATTTTATCTAGTCTCTCAGTTTTGCTTTCAAGTAAAATATGGTAGTATTGATTTGCTTATTAATGTCCCCCCAAAAAAGCCAGCAGGCTGGTATGCTGAGCTTCTTCCTGAGGTCAAGTAG